ATGACAATGCAATCATGGAACGTTATCCACCACTACGGGAGGGGTGTTTATTAGGGCTGCTCAATATAACATATAACGATATAATCAAGATATGAGCACATGCGCAATAATCACCAGGGCTTAAGGTGACTGGCGTGAAAATTTCTCCAGATGCTGTCTTTTCGGTACTATACAGATGTTTACTTGCACTCACAATTTGGTAAGCAGATTATAAGTACGGTTAAAAATTGAATGAGATGCGTATTGTGACACCAGTCAGTCAGTAATCTGCATAAGTGAGGCATATCCATGTGTTTAATAAATGTGCTGGATTTGAAACTGCAAAAAAAGAAAAAAATCATGTTCGATATTTCTCTGAAATGTTAAACCCCACAGCACTGCCCCCCCCTCACAATATTCAACAGCACTGTGTCAACTGTGGAGACCTTCAGAATTCTGGAAACCACCATTTCCGAAGACCTGAAGTTCAAGACCAATATCAACTCCATCCTCAAAAAGGACCCACAGACGATGTACTTTCTGCTGCAACTGAGGAACTATGGCCTGCCACACACTGCTCAGAAAGTTGTTGCCACAAATCAGGGCTTGAACAGACGGCAGAGAACAGTAAGCAGAGCAGAAGATAAAACTTGTTCTCTTCTGCATCATTTCCACCAACACGGAGCCAGTGCTGGGCTGGATCTCCCTTGGTGCCATTTGAGAACCTGCCCGCATTTCCACCGGTTTCAAAAAAGGAATAGAACCCAAATATTACACAGGCAGAAGTGAGAGTAAAGGTTAATATGTAGTCAGTTTTTAGACTTATTTTGATCAGTTTTGGATTTTAAGTTTTTACTAACTGCGGAACCGAAAAAAAAAAAAAGTTTTCAGAGTAAGACTTGTTGCGCTCTGTCTCTACTGCCTGTATCCCCTTTTGTCTCCTTAAAGGTTCCCTGTCTGTATATGTGTGTAATTTGTTCTCACTCACTGTTTTACCACTGTCCTTTTGAGGATCACACACAAAAAAAGAGTTTGCTAAAAACTTTGCTGTCCGCCATGGTTTTATTGGTCTAACCTATGATTTTTTTATAATTTATTATTAAATCTGGACAGCAAATTGATCTTTCGTTTTCTACAGAAAATAATGTTACAAGTCGTTTCACTTACCACACCGGCAATATCAGACAAAACTATATTGGACAAAGAATGAATTTTCTGGGTGTGTGAAAGGTTTGAACGCGATACCCCGTCCTACTCTCACTGACATTACGGTTCCAAACTCTGAGACCAGCTGTTCTGTGGTGCCATGCTGGAGTTGTTTTTCTTCTTGCCTAGGACCAGTTTTTTCTAGTGGAAATGCAAGGAACCAGTTCCAGATTGGTAAAATGTCTGGCACTGGCTCCGGTACTGCATTGGTGGAAACAAGGCATTCAAGAACCAGAAAATGGGCGGGGAATATTATTACAAATTCTTCACAACCTGGACACATGCTTTTTCAGCTCCTCCCCACCAGCAGACATTACCCTGTACATCAAAACTACTCAACACAGGAGCAGTTTCTTTCCTCATGCCATCACCCTCATAAATAGCTGACCTGCATCATCTGCTATGCCGCAGCTACTGGTCTTTATACCCTGCCTCACATCTACAAACACTGCATTCCCACATCAGGTGCATCACTGTTGTCGTGCATTATTGTATATTACTTATTGTGTATTTAATCTATATATGGCTTGAATATTGTGTATTGTCTGTAAATATGTTTTGGTTGTATATCGTCTAACTTGAGAGACACCAAATTCCTTGTGTGAATTAATATGCCAATAAATCTGATTCTAATTTAGCCAATAAATCTGATTCTGATCTGATTCTGACTGCAGCCTGACTCAGAAGACTCAGAAGTTTCATATCAGTGAAAATTTCCATATCGGCGCACTACATATGCAATCAAGAAAAAAAATTTATGGCCAATCCACCAGGGAAGGGACTGCGCATGTACCCCACAGGTTGTTGGGTCAAGTCCCAGGAATAGCGCTGAAGCCAAACTAGAGCGAGCTCCCCGACTCATCTAATTATAGGTGCTTGTAAAATCGAAGGCATTGTAACTCACTTCGGAAGAATGAAGCCCAACACGAAATGTCAGTGTAAGAGATTATTTTATGTTCACGAGTGGCGGCAGTGTACAGCAAAGCATTGCTTTTAAGGGGGACGTCAACGCAAACGACAGGCAAGACCATAATACTCCAACTACGCCACCTCTCCCAGACCTTGAGGTTATTTGGTGTTATAACTGCATTCCACAGATACTAAGCCTGGCTGTAGGTGATATGTCAATCCCAGCAAAATCCCTACTGTGTTTTGTCTGGGGGAAAGGAGAAAGTGTCAGTACAGAAGGGATCCTGACAGTATTAATTAAAAGCTCATTCACCGTACATTTAACTGGCCATATCAAAATACTCCAGTGGAAAAAAACAACATGCTTAAAAACGGCGCTGCCTTTGAAAGTGTGGACTTCTTAAATTTTATCTGTGGATCGAATAAGGTCAACAGCGCAATAAATTCGAGTAGTATTTTATTTCAGGCACTTAAACCGCCCTTTGGTTTTATTTAACTGATGGCAGGAAACGTAAGTGCAGTGCATACGTGCATTTTATTTCACCTGTTCATTCGACAGGACAACTACTGTTGCTCAACAGTATCATAGTATGAGGTTAAGGTGAAAAACTCGACGCTACATAAAAACAGAAGAGCATTCAGATTCATGCGCGACTCCCGTCCTCCATGCACCCCCCACCATGCACTGTCCCCCACCCACCCCCAAGGCCTACATCGCTTGCCTGCCCAAGAGAAACACAACCCCATCCATCCAACCGGCACGGTAAACAGCAGGATCGGCCACAAGTGACGGAGGACAAACGGCACACGCGGTCCCACGGTGTCACGTGTGACCTGGGCGATCACATGACCTGCTCACCGTTCACCACGACCCGATCACAGTGCCCTTCATCCCACATACTGGTTCCAAGTGTACAGGGTAACAAATAAAGCCAGCCGTCTCGTTAATGGCAACCTTTGAACCAGCACCAGTTATTGCGTACTTGTAGCAGATAAGAGGTTTAACAGGGACCCGGAGCTTGCGCTAGAATTTTCAATTATGTGACAGCTCTTAGTAAACAAGGATCTAGACAAACACTAGAGCTAACAAACGAAACTAAAAGGCATTCTTCCACATTTAGCAACTGTTACTTTATAAGGATCAGTCGTAATCAGCTACAATTTCTTTGCCACGTATGTTTAATGTTGCATGGGTATTTCACAAGCTTCGGTGTCCATCCTTTGAAGTTTAATGAAGCAAGGATAAGCACTGAATAAAACAGTGACAGAGTGAACCCACCCAGCGGACTTTTTGGGGGATCGGGTGGGTTATTAATTGGACAGGGTTGATATGTAGAGAGACGAAACTCCCAAATCGACCTCACATTGTTACAAAAGTTGTTCCTCTTTAACGGACAGTGATCTCGCTACAGAAGAATAACCCGCCAGGATGTACATGGACAACTAGTTAAAGACCCAAACTACCAACTGCAACGTGGTACCAAGAGGAATTAGCTGCCTTTACGATCCGACACAATCATGAGGCATACGGGCCCAGTGACACATCAGCGGAACGCCAAGTTCCTGCACAGTGCTGCTCCGGCTGGATGGGAGAGCTCAAACCCGGGGGTACAGGGGGGCACAGTGAAGGAAACTCCCCCCGCCGCACCTCCTTAAGCACGTGGTCCCGGCCAGTCGAGCGGCAGTCCGTCTGGAACCACGCAAACCCCCTTTACCTCTGTCAAAATGGCGTCGGAGGCTTTACAAGAAGCAACGAAGAGGGTGTGAGTATTACACCCCCCCCTCCACGATCCTGAGTGCAGCGTTACAGCTAGGCCCCGAATAAGTCCCTGCACCCACAGTAAGCGGCGGTGCATCTCCCTTACCTTTAAATCGCAGATCGCTAGGCGGATCCAGAATAAGGATTTGCTCTGATTTGGACATTTTTTCACTCCTCGGGGAAGGGGGAAAGAAAAATAATAAACCGCTGCCGACGGCTGCGCCGAAGGACCGCTGCGATTGGAGACGGGATCTGCAGCTCGCGAAAGGAACGCGCGCGACCAGTGTCTGCGCTTTTACGGCCGGGACCACTGCGGTTGCTATGGGTGACGTCACATGTGCGCCGCGCTGGAGCCGCACTGCCGGAGCGCCATTGCACTAGGGTGCTGAATGGAGCTTCGTATCGTGCATCGTCTTATAATGAATAAAGTCTGAATATTAGCTATTAGCTCATGTGGGTTTTGGGCTTGCTTGGGTTCTGATTTCGTGGCCTCACAAGAGGGACTTAAATCGGTGCTTTAAACTGATGCATCTTTGGCTACTGTCATTCCTAGTTTTTGATATTCACCAGTGCGCCAAAGACTGGTGAAAGAATCAGAATCCTAGTGGTCCTAATGAGCTGCGTGGCTACTATATCCGGCCACAGCGACAAATACGTTTTTTCAGTTTTACTAAACAGCGTAAAGGGTAACGATTCTGTACTTCTAGAAATACCTGAATCCGCACGAATGTTTATGAAATTATTTGTCCTGACATCGATTAACCAAAGGGTGGAGCCAGAGGAGTGCAAAACTTATTTATTATCCCCTTTCGTCCTGTCTACTTGTTTCAAAATGGTCAATTAACTCGTGTTTTGGCGGGTACCATCGTTGCAAGTTGGTTTATTTAAGGTGATCTCATATAAAAATGATGTTTCTTTCACATTCAGACGACTGTAGATATTACTCAATGCGACCATGCATATACGAAGCACCTACACACGTGCATACTACATATATGCATATTTCTTTATACTAGCAATACTAATATGACCAACATGCTTTTATCGAATACAGTTAAAAAGCCATAAAATTTCAGTGCTTTAGCGCTTCTCCTGTTCGGTTTAATATAATTGAGTTTGGAGTTACTCATTTTTTTTTTTTTTAATTAAACCGACACCACCTTTTTTGCAAACAACATACTACCGCTCTGAATGTTAAAGTAAATACACTGGACTGTGATTACTCAGAACATTATTGTTAGGTCCTTTGTTTGGCCCGAGTGTATAGGTTTCCTTGACACGAACCGAGTATAAACAAGTATTAAAGTGGACCGACGTGTTTCTTCCCGGACAATGGGGCTGCCCGCCGACGGCGTATTGTGGACACCGACCGCTAGATGGCGTCGTAATTTCTACGTGTACGTCGCCGGTCCGCCCGCGCGTCCGTCTCCAGCGGAGCGGCTCCCCTCTTGTCCTTTCCAGGTGTCTCCTCAGCTGCAAAGACCACTTTAAATGTAGGACCGGGACAAGATGGCGGGTATGCACCGTTCACCGTAGCTGTGGCCATCCGCGTTTTTAAAAGCCTTTCTTTTACATAGTAGCTTTTAACCACTTTTTATGCTTAACAAAAGTGTGGCTCCATAGTCTGGGCATCGCCTTACTCGCATACGATTGCTGTTTGGTTATATATAATTTTTTTAATTTGCAGATTTATCTTTGCTTCAGGAAGATTCTCAGGAGGAAATTGACGGATGTAAGTTTGATTCTCGGTTTTTGTCTGTTTTTTTTTCTCTCCCCACTCAACGGGCAGTTTTCACGCTGCGGCTGCGGGCGAAGCCGCCGTATCGCCGCCACTAGCAGGGCATCGCGGTCGGCCTAGGACTGCAGGCAGCGCCCGGAAACCTGCCGCGGCTTGCCGCTCGCTTCCTGCGTTTCCTCCTGCATTTTTATTATTATTACCCACACCCTTTATGGAGGGACAAATCAGAGGATTCATATCGCTGGCAATCGGTGTCTGGCGGCTGGATCGGTTCTGCAGGGTGTTTATGGAAACGCGGTCGGGGGTGGATTTTAACCCCCCCCCCGGTTGTTTTTCCCCGATCAGAGCCCCCAGGCAGCGCGAACAGCTGGCTGGACACCATGCGCTAGTTTTTTCAGCTTCGAACGGGTGGCGCTGCTTGTTCGTCGGCCGACTGGGCTGTGCCGACCCAACCCGACCCGGTCAGAAAGGTCACGAGGACCCAGAGATCGGAACCAGTTCCCTGTTTAAAGAAATGTGGAAATCGGACTCAATTCGTCCGCTCACCACTTTAGAAAGTTTTCCTTAGACAAAAAAAAAAATTGCTGACTGGGTCGGACCGGCGGCCCCTGTGTTGGGGGGACGGATTTGTTTTTTCGGATATGGGTGGAAGTTGAGCATGCTTGCTTTCTTTTTTTTCTCTCCACGGAAAAGGTCCTATTGCATCCTCCTAGGCGGTCTTTTGAAGTTTTTCCGACGTTTTATCCCCTTGATCGGCTTCTTTCATGAAAACAGCTAGTCCTTCACACTGAATCCGGACCGCTCCAGCCCTGTCCCTGCCTTATAAAAAGCCCCCTGCTTGCATCTGTCTCCTTTCTTCAGTGATGGTGGAGGGTGCTGCTTCTGGTGGCGGGCCGTGCTGATATGCTGTGTCTCCCCCGCCTCGCCCCCCATCTTTTTAATAGTTGGTGTGGATGACTACAGCTCGGAGTCTGACATCATCATTATCCCTTCAGCGTTGGACTTCGTATCGCAAGATGAGATGCTGACACCCTTGGGCCGATTGGACAAATACCTTACCAGTGAGAATATTTTTAACAGGTACGTTTGGCGATCCTAAACGTCTAAGTAATCAGGAACCAGTTTCCAATCCAATGTCGTTCGCTTATGGAATCTCAACTTTGTAAAATGCGTACTAGTTCAGTTAAAACCTCTGGACATGTACAGATATACAAACTACCAATAAATTGCGTATGTGTTGTGAAATTAACCACATATTAATATCCTATATAAGTTAGCCATCCAAAAGGCCTTTTGTTTGTCATTTCTGTGGTTGTGCCAAACTACCTTACAATTCCTTATTAATTTCAGGCAAATGGTGGCTCGAAGTTTGCTAGACACCCTGAAGGCAGTGAGCGAGGACGAGAGAGACTGCATCGCTGTGCTGGAGCGGGTCAGCAGGCTGGCGGACGACTCGGGTAGGGGAGGTCACTCGGCGCTCCCTGGGTGCGGGTGGGACAGGTGGCGGGAGGCGGGGGGGGGCAGCTCTCTATGAACGAGATTTTTTTTTAACTTGCTGACAGTTGGCCAACTTTAGTCTTAAGGAGTGATCCTGAGTTTAATGGCAATGTGGTCCTGGTGTCTTTCATATCAGTTTTGCTTCTTTAGCCTCATTGCTGCCATTTCACCCAAATGGACCACCCCTGCTACTTTTGCAGGGTCCCTTCTTGGGTCTGTCTGCCAAACCCCCCCCCCCCCCCCCCCCCCC